CGATCCTGTTTATACCAATAAAACGATGAATGAAGTATAAACATGTATTACTTTTTTATGAATGAAATGTGCTCCTAAAACATCGAAATGTGTCCCGGGAGCGGGGGAAGCGATTTCTCGGGAGCCGGGCAGCGAAGCCCCGGGAGCAGGAAGGGGGGTCCCCGTAGTGGGTGCAGTGGGGTCCCGAGAACGGGAACAGCAGGGCCCCGGGAATGGGAGCAACGGGTCCCGGGAACGGGAGCAACCGGTCCCGAGAGCGGGGCGGGTTTTGGCCGGGGGGGGTGTAGTACCGGCATGTCCGACCCGTACACGGCGAATTTCCGCTGCCGTGTGGAGAATAATTAGGTGATAATTGCCGCTAAATTATGCATATTCCAGCAACACACGGAGCGGTGCACGGCCATTTCCTGCCGTGTACGGGGATGTACAGGGATCGTGTCCGGGCATATAACGTCCAGTACACGACCTGCACACAAAAAGTGGTTCATTTCCGGGAGTGTACAGGACATGTACGGGACTGGACACGTTTCGTGTGCAGGTCGGAAACCCCCGGGTTCTACCGGAAACCTAAAATATCCGGGAAAGTGTGCGGCAATTTCTCACACGGAAACTAGGGATTTTGTGCCGTGTGCAACAGGCACATTTTACCTTCTATTACATTTGAAACATTGTATCAGAATAGAAAATATATGTGAACAGCTCATTTTCTTCCTGAATGTTACAGAAACGCTAAGTTTTGGCTGGGACTCAGTAGACCGAACGGGACGTGGGTCGACGGCCAGGGTACCGCGCTTGGTGAATTTGCAGCCTGGGCTCCAGGGGAGCCCGATAAACCTGAAAAACTCTGTTCTCATCTTGTGCATGAAACAATCACCAATAGTGCACGCAAAAATAAGTGGGCTGACATGGATTGTAGTACGAGCATGCGGTACATCTGTGAAACAGGTAAGTTTCAGAGAAAATTAATCCGTCATTAAGAGAGTTTATTTTCCTCTTTTGTTTTTACAAAATTTTAAAACAATGAACAAAAGAAAATATGAATTCGGAGACCTCATACCATAAAGATGTTTTTTTTTATTTTGGGGGGGTTTATTTTCTCGTTGATTGATCATGGAAATGTAATGATTTCATCTACTTCATGTACAGTTTCTCATCTAAAATCATACATAGTTTATTTATAAGCTTTGGCAAGGTTTCATTTTATCATTAAGTCAAACTATAAAATTGTTGGTTATGTGCAAGCTAGCTATTAGCTACTAATTTTCAATGGTTTCATAAACAAGAGTTCCAAGTTTTTTTTACCTTCGCCAAATCATGTTAACCATTTAAACTCAGTCTGACTAATGATACATTTTATGGTGATTATGCAATTTATAATAGACTCATTTGCTTGAAAGATATCAGTTGCTCATATTCTCTACCCGATAACAGTCTGTTTTTTAAGAAATAAGGCTATTCTAGCATTTCCTCATAAATTGTGCAAATTGGCTTCTAATTTGAATCAACTATGTTTATAATTCATCTTTACTGAATTTCCAAATACTAAATTCCCAGCAGATACCGCTAAAAACTTTTTGGAATTCCCCGTTAATTATGCAAATTAGGCCATCATTTACATTACGAATATCTGCCAATGGTCCTGTCGTTTTCAATAACATATGTCACATTTTTGTAGATGTAGACGAGTGTGCCACAGGAAAGGGTGGATGTGCACAGAACTGCACTAATACTATCGGCAGCTTCTCATGTTCCTGTTATACTGGCTACAAATTCAACAATGACGGAGTTTCCTGTGACGGTAAGGTATACCTACTACCTATAAGCTAAACTGTACAAGTCATTTGAGCACTACCAGACTCCATTTGTCTAAAATACAATTCTGTGTTAGACGAGGAAGGTACTTGCTGTATTTTCAGACATAGACGAGTGCACCTCAAACAACGGTGGATGTTCCGTGAATTGCAACAACACCATCGGCAGTTTCGAGTGCTACTGCGGAGATGGCTATGTCCTGGATGGAGATGGGGTGTCATGCAACGGTACATATCCATGTTTTGTAACATGCGTTATGATAACCCCAAAACAATCAGCTGTTTTCTGTACTTTAATTTACTCTAGTGACGTTTCTTTTAACTGGTCTATTATATCTAACGATTTCAAAGCTTGTATATAATATATAGAAACACCGACTATGATTTTACCTTTACTATGTCGGTTTGTTCTATGTTGGTTAGGGCCTCTTCCATCGATATATTGTATAATCAGCATTAAAAGAGTGACATTCGATATATACAGAGTTTTAAGAACAGGTATATCATCTTTTCAAAACGAATTTGTAAAAGTTATGTTTTGCTTTAAATGTCGCATGTCTACTAAAATTGTGATCCGAAACCGGTAATGTTACCAAGATAAAAATATGATCAAATCCGGCAATGCCCTTTTTGGCATGAACTTGAAAGCTATTTCCAGAAAAATATTGAATACCAATAAAAACAAAAACAGGGATGACAAAGTAGCAATATGTTGATGCTTAGCTTTGCCCTTCATTCTATCATATGACTTTCGAAGTTTGGTTATGATAAGTGTCCTTCTAATGCGTAGGTGTATGTGTATATCAGGTGATTATTTTGATTCCCAACGTAGGTGTATGTGTATATCAGGTGACTATTTTGATTACCAACAGACATTGACGAGTGTGCGAACGCTAATGGAGGCTGTGAGCACGTCTGTACCAACACTGAGGGCAGCTTCCAGTGTTCCTGTCACCTCGGACAAACACTCAACGGAGATGGCCTAAATTGCGACGGTGGGTGAAGACATCTTGTCTTTATAAACAAAAGTCACAGCTCTGTTTGTAAGACATCAGACAGAATAGGTTGACAGCACATGGGTGAGAGTAGGATAGACAGACACAATGTCAGCAAATCAGAAGGTTAGGAAGAGGACATTGGGTGAACGTAAAAGTGAATGTGTCGTTCATGTAAACCACGTAATTCTATATTTCAAATAACTTTGTTAGCATTAACATTTTAATGTCTTGGGGTGGTGGGACTACGGCGCACAGATATGTCAACTTTGTCAAATATTTATATGTTAATTGTACTTTTTTGTTGTGTGGCGCTGTTAACATAAGTTGTAGACTTGAGTGCAGCGTCACACTGTCCATGTTATGTTTTCATGTATTTGATGAATAAAAAAAGTAGAGGGATTATGATGGTACATGGGTGTGTGGTGGTGTGTGTTAGGGTACAGAGGATTACATTCTTACTGGAAGTCGTAAGTCTCCAAGTGCTTGCTAACTCTCACTTCAGGGAGCCTAGGAAAAGAGTCAAATCGGTATGCCGGTGCAAAATGCATTAAACAGTCATTATTATGTCCGTAAATAATTTCATCAGGTTGGTAAACGACTGAATAGCAAAGTTCTTTCTATAACAACAATTTATTTTTTCAAGCCAACGTTTCGATGACCTTCTGTCATCTTTATCAGGGCGATACTGTCTGGTTTCCTGTGCACTGACACTAGATATTGCTCGGTGCATAGTGCACTGAAGGTGTTACATAGAAAAGAGGCAGACAGCGTCAAGACGGGAAGGTACACCAGAGCAAGAAAGAAAGAAGCTGAAAACCAAGAAAACAAGTCAGCAGTCACAGACCACATCACATAAAATAACTGTGTAATAGATTTGGACGGGGCCAAGGTAATAGACCGAGAGGACAACAGATGTATCCGTTGGATTAAGGAGTCTGTATGGATTAGAAAATCCAATCAAGTCATGAACCGTGATGAGAGGGGGGGGGTATAAACTTAGTCATGTTTGGGATCACATTCTTAATAATTGACATTGGTTTTCTTATTGTTTGTAACTATTATGATTCCTAACAAATATGTAACAAGACTTTTAATAATTTCTATTTGGGACTGTGATAGCTCAGTGTTGTCAGTTAACAAATCTTATATTATAGATAGAAACACTTTACATTTGGATCCGCATATTTTCCTATGCTGTAACAATGCCTAGTATGTATGTCACAATTACACTACGTTCCGGAATGTATTGTAAACAGAAAAAAAAACTAGCTTTTATATTAAGTGCACTATGAAGTATGTAACACCTTCAGTGCACTATGCACCAAGTAACATCTAGTGTCAGTGCACAGTAAACCAGTCAGAATTGCCCTGATGAAGATGACAGAAGGTCATCGAAACGTCGGCTTGAAAAATAAATGGTTGTGATAAAAAGAATTTTGCTCTTCAGTCGTTTACCAACCTGATGAAATTAGTTACGGATAGATTTGTTCATACATGTATTTTCATATGTTGTTTTTCGTCACCTATGCGCAATGAAATCAATAGCTTAATATACCCATATCTAGCCTACGGGAATATAGTCTGGGGATGCGCCTACAAACCACACTACAGCCCCTAGCATTACTCCAAAAAAGATTTGTTCGTTCAGCCACCGGCGCCAGTTTCCACGCACATTCTGCACCTTTGTTTACAAAACTTAAGATTTTAAATATTTTTTATATAAGCAGACTTCACCTG